AGGGCAGCATGTGCACACTTCCATTGCCTTCTCCAGTTCCTCTGTGATCTCGATGTCACCACCCTCTCTTTGTTCTGCTGGATCCACCTTATCCAAATGTCTATTGTGTAACTTATTCTGCCGAGGGGCCTGTTTTGCATGATTCTAAAACTATAATTACTTCTAGGGGATCATAATGGGCTTCTCCTCATGACACTTTATAGGACTTTCTGAAATTAAAGCTCTTGCAAAGTGGTAAGGAGCCCAGATTATGGAGACAGAATACCTCTATCTGAATCCCATCTCTATCACTTATGAATTGTGCATCCCTAGGCAAGGTTATTCATCTGGTGTGTGCCTCAGTTTCTCCTGTGTAAAATAGGTTTAATAATATGACCTATTTATTTGGGCTGCTCTGAGGCTTCAATGCTATAATACTCATAATATACTTAAAATAGTGTCTGGAACACGATAATTGCTTTATAAGTGTGAAATAAATCTAAGGGGATAAGACTGTAATAAGCATTTAATATCCTCTTATAGTTACTTCTGAAGGAAATAGTCCTACTTACACTGTCAAATCATAGTTTCTAAAGAAGCTTTCTTTTCTGCTTTCTTCTCCTCTTTCTTCTCAGCCCAACTCCACCAAGAATAAAGACTGGTCTTGGAACCATCAGAAGTGACTTGGAGAATAAATCTGTCATTGATGAGCTATGAAAAACTGTTTTCTCTGTAACTCTAGCTACTTGCCCACAAAATGGGGACAGAAACACCTGGCAAATATCAAATAAAGTAACATGTGTTGGTATAGTTAGGCTTTGTTTCTCCACCCAAATCTCATCTTGAATTGTAATCCCAGGTGTTGAGGAAGAGACCTAGTGGGAGGTGATTGGATCGTGGGGGTGGTTTCACCCATGCTGTTCTCATGATAGTGGGTGAGTTCTCATGAGATCAGATGGTTTTATAAGTATCTGGCATTTCCCTGCTTGCACTTCTCTCTCCTGCCGCCATGGGAAGAAGGTCGTTCCTTCCCCTTTGCCTTCTGCCATTGTGGTAAGTTTCCTGAGGCCTCCCCAGCCATGAAGAACTGTGAGTCAGTTAAACCTCTTTCCTTAATAAATTACCCAGTCTCGAAGAGTATCTTTAAATCAGTACGAGAAGGAACTAATACATGTGGTAAAAATAATCTGCTGGTTCCAGGGTGCCTTACTAAGTGAGCTCTGCTTTTTGCCTTCTCTGCTTCCTTTCTTCATTTCCATTCTCTTCATGGTCCCTTGTTCCTTTATCTCTACTCTTTCAAATCTAATTTTTATCATTTCCTCCTTACAAAATAATTCAAAGAAGAGTTTATAAGATTGAGCCAAAAATCAGAAGAGTATAAAGTCAGGAGTAATCTCATCACTTACAAATAAACATTTGTAAATTGCGATATTTGAAACTAAATGTATTTTAGGACCTGACTCTTGTTTGCAACTGATTTCTTACAATTTTAAATTAAAATATCATTCTATGTTATTGCACTCTTCCTATAGTATAATTTTTTAATTTGATGCCATTTTTATGCATCATATTTTTTGCAAACTATCTCTAATTATGAGATGTGTGGGTATTTTTTTCTAGTTATTCTCCTGCTAAAAATAAGAAGCACAAAAATCCTTGCAGAAATGATTTTTTTCCTCAAAAATCATAATTATTTCCTTGGAATTCCTAGAAGAGAATTTTTAGCATCACATGGAATTTACATTTTTAGAGCTTTGATATACAGTGCCAGATTATTTTCTAGGAAGATTATTTCACTTTACACTTCTCTCAACACTGTTTGAAAATGCACGTTTTCTCCCTAACCTAATCACACTGCCTGATCTTAAAATAAAAATTCGATATCCAGAAAATAAAACAGATGGTCATAATTTACATGTCTTTGCTTATTAATGAAATTGAATATTTTTCATATGTTTATTGCTTACTTTTAAGTCTCCATTTGTAAATTTCCTATTTATATCTTTTGTTCATGTATTTCTCTTTGTCCCTTCGAGCAATATATTATTTTCTTCTTCAAATATAAGGGCTTTTTACGTGGAAAGGACTTTAACCCTTTACAGTCTCATATTTTGTTTTCCATTTATTTCAGTTTACCATTTACTTTTTATTTTCGTTGAGATTTAAGAACACTAAAGTCTTAGTTTTTTGGTGTTCATTTGTTTTCTTTTGTTCTAAGGTTGTTGCCTATAGTTTCAAGCCTGAAAGGGCCTTTATGATCTTGATTTTGTATAGATATTAACCCATTTAGTATTTTCCTTTTTTTTCTTCTCTCTACTCATGTTTCAGGATTACCATAGACAAAAGGCTGAGGCCCCAAAGCCACTTATTTGTGTGTGGTCCTAGAATTAAGAAAGCTGCTAAGTCTGTCCAGCAAAACCTCATTGTGCCATTCTGATATCCCTGACAGAATTTTATGTCAGACATTTCAAGAAGGGAGGTGAATTCATAAGATCCTTAATTCTTAAAACTAAAATGTTTGAAAATATTATGTAGTCGTGTTATTTTTCTGCCCTGCTTAGCATCAAAAGAATTCATTTCCAACTTTTGTATGAGTTTCTGAAGCAGAATTTGGGGAGATTTTTTACTCTCCACAGCCTTTCAAATGTTCACAGTTGCTAGAGAACTGGAAATTAATACATTAGCCCTAATAAGAGATTTCTTTACATCTTATTTGATTTTCTCATCACTCCCTCCTAAGGCAGCTGGAACTGCTCTACTGGGAATATAACTCATCCATAACAAAGAATCATGATCCAAAACCATGGAAGAAAACACAACCAACCACGTTGCTCCATGTACTCTTTGGCTGTGAGAACAACTTTGATTTGGGGGAAGCAGGAGGGTTTTGAGATAGGGTAGCCACAGGGCTGAATTCCAATTCTGTAACTACCTAGCTGTGACCTTGGGCGAGTCTACTTGTCAGAGATCCATTTCCTGAGACAGTACTATTAATACCCATAATAAAACCAACAGTTACTGAGCCAGAACTTTGTATACCTGAACTCATTCAATCCTCACCATAACCCAATGAGGCAGGTACAGTTTTTGTCCCCATTTTACAGCCAAGGAAACCAATGCAGAGAGAGGGTATCTTGCCCAGTCACACAGCTGGAAAGAAGAGGAGCAGGACATGCAAGAACAAGCATTTTGATGATAGAGTCTATGAGCTTAATGTTTCTGAGTGTAAAAACATCAAGGAACACGTTTGCTTGGTGCATTCAGAGAAGGAAGTTGATAAACGTTAGCCCCCTTCTGTCCCTGTGGTGACAGTCTTCCTCCTACCTCGCACAGTGGCAAGCTCGCCATCCACATGAGCCATGCGCTGCATGGCCGTGGCCCCCACGCATATTGGCATGCTGACCCTCTGTCCTAAAACAGAAGTCGACAGATCTGTTTCAGCAACATTCCGGAGCATCCTTGGATACAGCTTCCATCTAGAATTTAAAAATAAATAAATAACATAAAAGGCTTTAGAGTTTCAAAAATATAACCAAAACTTTGACATTACATTTTAGTTAAAAAGAAAAAATGTGATTGGATTTTTTCCCAACAAGCAAATGACTTTACAAAGCTAATGGAAAAGAGGCAATTTTACTGTTAGGATAGAAAGTTAACAGAGGGTAATTAATTTCCCAAGCAATTATTTAAGTATAATTAATATATAATAGTATTCACTCATTTTAGTCTGTACTTTTGTGAATTTTGACAAATGCATACAAATGCATGGTGTAACTACCATCACAATCAAGATCTAGAAAAGTTCAATCATTCCCAAAAATGTCTCCATTTTCTTTTGTAGTGAAACTCTCCCCAATTCAATCCCCTAACAACCACAGATGTATTTTGTTTTTGTCTCAATAATTTTGCTTTGCGAGAATATCATGTAAACAAAATCATACAGTGTGTCGCCTTTTGAGTTTGGCTTCTTTCACTTAACATAATGCATTAGAGATTTTCTCATGTTGTTGTATGTATCAATAGTTTGTTCCTTTTGGTTGATGAATAGTATTCCATTGTACAGGGGCACCATCATTTGTTCAATCATTCTCAAGCTAAAAGACATTTGGAATACCTCCAGTTTGGGGCAAAATTCTAAATAAAGCCACTACAAACATTCATGTATAGGTTCTTGTGTGAACGTAGTTTTCATTACACTTCCCCAATCTTGAAAATCAAGATGGTATACAAATGCGTGGAGTTTAGATTAGAGTTTAAGAAGATACGCTATGTCTAGTTTGTCTCCTTTTTATGTGATCAACAGCAGCTTCAGGCAATTACTTTTAAAATTATAATTTGATTTCTTCAAAATTATTGAGTTATGCTGTATTCATTAAAGTCTAATGAAGAGGGAAGGCTTTTTTATTAGTTTAACTTAACACTTTTCTCAAAAATGTTATTTGACAAAAACTGAAATTTGGGGGTTAAAAAGGTTTTGACTCCTGAAAATTATTTTAAATGACTGTTTCTGTGCTGCTTCTGTGTTGGAATGAAAATTACCAATAAACCAGCAACCAAAAATTCACCGGTAAGATTTACAGGAGAACTAGTTCTCTTTCCTCCTGTTAAAATATATATCTCCTGTTTGTTTTGATTTATTATTCTCCTCATTACTGCTGATTAAAATTGAAGAAAATACAGCCCTATTTCTAATATGCATCAGTATAATAAACATGTTGTTCAGGCACACATATATATCTAACCAGCATTCACCTAGTATTACCTAGATTTAACTCTGCTTCCACAAACAGCATGACTTTTTAGTAAATATAGTGAAGTACGATATAGTAATGCAGTAACTTGAAAAAAAAAAAAAAAAGAAGAAGAAGAAAAAGAAAAAGCCCTTAATTGAAGTGTACTTCCTGTAGCGGAAGAAGAAATTCTGCCTTATGGTGCTTTGTGGAATAGCTAAGGGTCTGTAATCTAACCCCTCCTCACATAATAAAGTAAAAACATCCAGTCCCTGAAAAGCATAATAAAGAAGTTTTACTGTGATTTCTATGCTATTCCTTTGAACATCATAATTGTCATTATTTTATGTCACACCACATGCTCTGTTGCTGAAAGTCTTTTCTTCTTGACGGACCCTCACAGCATGATTCTTTGATCTCCATTTTGAAGGGGGAGAAGCAGAAGCCTTGAAGAGAGTTTTTATTACCAATCATCTCTAAGTGTGTTATTAGAATGAGAGAAAACGATCTTAATAGCAGCCATTGGCAAGCCAGCCTTGGAAGGCATTAATATTTACTTAGAGCTAGAGAAACAATGAAAGCTTTATGAAAAGAACACACAACGCTGCAGGGCAGCAGCTCTGTGTGTGTGTGTGTGTGTGTGTGTGTGTGTGTGTGTATGTGTGTGTGTGTGTGCGCGCGCGCCAAAAGGGACATTTTTAAAGGTCAAATTCCCATTTATAAAGCAAGGCTAAATCCTTCCATCTCCAAACAGTGGCTTTATGCTTGTCCACTTGGTGGCGCAGTCACTTTAATAACTGTGGGTTCTTACTTTCCCTTAAACAGTATTTTCTGTTCTGAGGATGTTACAGAGGTTTGTCAACCAATGCACAAAACGTAATTCCTACGTAAAATTAGATAAAATCAATGGAATGGGAACATGCATGTTATCTAAAGAGTCCTCCATGTTTTGATATTTTTCAAATAGTAATAACAGCAACTATGTCAGATAGCTCACTAGCTTTCCAAGCCTTGCCCAACCCCATCCCAAATTTAAGTAACTTTCCCACAATCATACATAAAATAGCACCTCACCATATTCTCGGACTGTGCTCTCCTGGGCCTCCACTTTGGAAAATAATAAACCGTTTTCAAAGGATAGAAAATGAGATGCCAGAGTAAAGGAAGTGGGGTAAAGATGAGAATCTGTTCACAGGAATTTTGGCCCACCCCACACATCTAACAAGGGCCTCAAATTTAACTTATAAAAAATCAAATGATATACACACTCCTCACAAAGTAGCTGCCCTGTTGAAGGAAGACACCCGTGCCTCACCCAGCTTTATAACTGTATGCTGTTTCTGAATCACACCAACTGAACATTGTGGGTTCATGTTTTATAAGGTGTGTAATACTATAATATTGCATTCCAATTTTCTCCACATTAATTTTTTACTCTAAACAGTTAAAATATATAAAGCAAAAACACCTTATTCACCTGTTGTGGATACTAGATAAATGATTTTGTGACATTTATGCCTATGAGAACACAATGTCACTGGTAAGTTTACATCACTTCTCAAATATTAAAGTGAGAGAATGACATCACTTTTACCTATCTGTTATTTAAAAGAAAATGACGCAATCTTCAGTATCAATAGGTGACGCAGCAGAAAAGAGTTTCCTTTTCTGAAATCATGCTGGCTTCTAAGTGTCCAAATTGTTGAATTATCTTCCATCAATGATAATTTCAGGAAAAAAAGCTATGACACATGTGAAGACCATTGTTGAGAAGGCTACTTTGAATAAATGTGTAAGAGAAACAAATTACTGTTCTTCCTTGAATTAATCACAATCAATTCCAGCCATGTAAAATGTAGCAAGTTGACATTTGCCCTGTTTTGTTATAACTGCAATAAGAAATTTTGTTCTTCTGGGTGGTTCCATTTATTTGTCCTTTTTAACATTTTTTTTTCTATTGCCACAGTAATATTAAAGTCTCAAGTCTTACTGAAAAATATCTCCAAGCAACTGTTGGGTGACACGAGTGGCCCATGTCCCCAGAACTCGAAAATGTGGTTATCAGAGATGAGTACAGAGAAAGAAAAGCTGTCACTGTGAATGACCTTTTGTTGTACTTGTGAGACGGGAAGGTGTATAAATTTTGTAAATGTGTTTGAAATACTCTGACCTTGTATCACAACGGGTTATCTGAGGTTTGATTGTTTTGCACTTTTCATTAGAATCAGAATGTGAGATTTCAGGTTGTTTTCCTTCATGCCACCAACCCAAAGTCTCCACAACCCTGGCAGAAATTCTACTCTTGGTTTCACATGACCAGCTACATGATGCAGTGTGAGGAATCAAGGGTCACCTAGCAAGTCACAAAGCAAAAGAGGAATTGAGATATTAGCTAGGTAACAACCCCTAAAATGTGTCGCAATAAAAACTCAAGTAGTTGATAATAAAATAGCATCAGCTGTCCTCCAAAGAAAGTTGATCAATACTTTTTTTTTTTTTAATTTAAAGCTGAACAAAAGAGAATGATCAAGGTTCATGGGAAAGGTGGCACTGCAAATTCATTTTCATTGTCTGTGTCCTATCCCTAAGTTACTCGGTACACACATAGGATGGGAATACTCACTGGAATACCATGTAATTCATATAAGGCATGAAGCACTTTTCCAGTTCACAACTTAGAAGTCACCAAACTTTCTATGTCTCCCAAAGTTTCTACAATTTGTAGGGTTGCATAGGTGATCCATCTGCCTTGGGGCGTCCCTTTGCATCCTCTCTGAGACCTCCACTTGGCCAACTATTTGGGGCCCATTTTGCATCAATTCAATCCAACAGTATACTGGAGGTTGATAGGCATCCGGTGGAACGTAAGCTCCTATGGACAGGAACTTTGTCTGGCTCACTGCTTTTTCCTCAGTATGTAGTACACAGTGTAGCTCACGGAGACTCCTAATTAGCCCTAGTTAATTAGCTAGCATGGGACAAAGGGAATTAAGAAGTGAGGAAGGCTGTGTATACATGAAATAATCACTTGAGCATTGGAGGCCTAGCAATGCTGAGACACTAACCATATAAATCTGTCAAGGGTCTGAAATTTCCTTGGTTGTAATAACCCATTTGGGTTAAGGTGTTTTCAAGAGACCACTCATAGGCAAATTTTGGTGGACAAAGTTAATGTTGGCCCAAGAAGGGGCATCTTCCAAGAGCAGAAACTTTTAAATGAGTCCAAAATAGTAAATAATGGTGCAGAATTTTAAGCCCCTCTACTCTCAGTCAACTTCCCTTCCCCTGACTTCCCTGGCGTTTGTTGAGCTCATCTGGGTCCCACGCAAAACTTGAGACAAAGTCAAGGCTTGAAAGGATTGGGGAGAGGCCCTGTCCTTCACCCCATCACCATTTTTAGTCTCTACATGAATTTGTGGGTGAATCAGTGCTGCCTACCAGAGGCTACCTTGGCCGGGATGATTTTATTTCTCCTAATTTAAATATAGAAAACTGATTTTGAGTGATTTTGTTGTAGACTAAAGAAGAAATCAGGGAGGAAAGCTGATTGTCTCCCCACTGCATATTTTCTGCCTTTTTGTCTTTAATTTATCACCATCAATGAGTACCCACAATACTGAGTGCCTTTACTAAGAGCCATAATGTTAGATGGATGAGACTGAGTGGAGTGGAGTGAAGGCTCTCCTGTCTTGCTCCAGCAAATAAACCATTTTTTATAACTCAAAAAAAAAAAACCTTTGAAATGATTTTATTTCTTGTTTTTATTACAAACAGAAAACATAAACCATGTCACCCACCACCTTGTGCTTTGAAATATGAAAGTCAAGGGAAAACTAATTTGGGAAGAGAGATGAAGTGCTTTGAAGGAGAGATGAAACAGCAAGGTTGAAAGATTAATGCTACATAGACAAATTGAAATCTAAAGTGAAAGTTTAGACAACAGTGATCAAAATGAATGATAACACGAAAAGCCAGCAGGAAAAGAACATTTGAGCCAACAATCCAATCTGGTTCATCCGGATAAGATGGTTATCTGGCATTTAATGCTGTTTCCTACACCATGAACATAAGCACTTACTGTCATACTAAGAAAAAGAAAAGTCATCTGAATTTATCGCTATTTTTATATGTAGTTAAATTATTGTTATCATACTTCCAAGTGAAGTTAACATAGGGTTGACTCTTGCAGTCAGTTGTTCAAGATTCACAGGCTTGGAATATTTTTTAACAATTTAAAGGCCCAAGATTTCTTACAGCCCCAAGAACTTTCCCCTCTCTACCAAGCCTAAATCTGAACAAGTAATTACACACCACCAATGTAAAACTAGGAGATCTTATTTTGGTACAGTCTTTGTGTAATTTTAAAACATGATTTAAAAAAAGAAATTTTCTTACCTGGAAAATGCTGCAATATTATCAGCCAAAGTTTCTTCATCATTTGCTCCAGACCTGTAATAGTCATATATAGACTTCGGAAGTACTGATTTAGCATGTTGTTCATAATCATTGATACAAACTAGCCGGGGGAGCATTTTCACAGGTTATTGTTATCCCAGATGGAGTTTTTTTTTTTTTTTTTTTTTAATGTATTACTTTCTACATCCTCACTGTTCTGTTATTTGTCAATTATTAATAGACTTTTGCCAAAGTTCAGATTTAGTTCTCTGTTGCTTACATTTAGTGAGCAAACATTATACGCTGAGCCTTTGAAATTTCACTTGTAGGCTATCTTCCAAAGAATACCGAAGTCACACTCTGCCAAAGAACACCGAAGTTGAGGTTGGGGAGGCAGCAGAAGGTGATGATGTGTCTATCACCTTAAAAAGGGCAAAGGAATAAGTAAAAAATTAAAGACTTAGAGGAATACCAGTATGAAACCACTCTTGGTTCAGTTTTGCCTAAGGCTGCTTCTTACACATGGTCTGTGCCTGTGCTGGTTGCTTGATACCCAGAATGGACTGCCCACCCATTTTCTTTCCACATTTGGATCATGCACAAGTCATATAAACAAGAGCTTATGATCAGAATGAGGCATCCATGAAATACCGGGCATCCATGAAATTCAGGACTTCTGTACAATATAATATTTAGCTGATTACAGACATAAACATTTGGCTTTAACGTGGAACATTAAGGCCAAATTTACAGCTAATTTTTTTACTCATTCTATATATTTCAGGTTTACAACATGATGTTATGAGATACATAGACATAGAAAAATGGTTACAATAGGGAGGCAAATATATCATCTCACATATTTACTTTTTTGTGTGTATGACAAGAACAGCTAAAATCAACTTATTTAACAAAAATTCCTAATATGATACAATTTTATTAACTTTAGTCCTCATGTTGCACATTAGCTCTCTAGACCAGGGGTTCCAAACCCCCCAGCACGGACTGGTACCTGTCTGTGGCCTGTTAGGAACCGAGCCGCAAAGCAGGAGGTGAGCAGCCAGTGAGCAAGCATTACGGCCTGAGCTCCGCCTCCTATAGTGAACTGCACATGCGAGGGATCTAGGTTACGTCACTCCTTATAAGAATCTAATGCCTGATGATCTGAGGTGGAACACTTTCATTCCAAAACCATCCACCTACCCCCACCACCTGTGGAAAAACTGTATTCCACAAAACTGGTCCCTGGTGCCAAAAAGGTTAGGGACCCTGTTGTAGACTCATGCATCCTACATGTCTGCTATTTTGTATCCTTTGACCTGTATCACCCCATTTCCTCTTCCCTGCTTCCCACTAGTGGTATTCACTCTCTTATTCTCTAGCTCTGTGCATTTGAAGTCTTTTTAAGAACAAAATGCCACCTATAAGTGAAATAATGCAATAGTTTCCCTTTTGTGCCTGGCTTATTTCACTTAGCGTAATGTTCTCTGGGTTCTCCTGCAAATAACAGGATCCCCTTCTCCTATAAGGCTAAATAATATTTCACTGTGTATATATCTATACATTTTCCTT